TATACAAAAAATATTTCTCTTTTAAATATCAAGAAATAATAAAATCAAAAGGTTAGCTTGGTCCCTCCGAGATCCACGACGGAAAAATTCTCCTCACCGACACGTGGCAGACCCCACCCCTCACTTTTCTCCGTTTCCTCCTCTCCAAAAACGTAAACAAATTCTTTTCCTTTTTTTCACTTCTCACTGTATATTTTTATTTAATAATTAAAAAAAAAATTTTTCGCCGCTCCATATATATAAAATCATAAATCACCCTCCATTTCTCTCCATCTTTCATCGGAAGTTTCTTAACGAATTCGCCTTTTGAAAACCCTTCTGTTTTTGTTTCTTCTCGTTTTCTTTTTTCTTCTTTTTTTTTTTTGTTTTTCTCTGATTTGACCGATCATGGCGAAGAATATTCTGGTGACCGGTGGTGCCGGCTATATCGGCAGCCATACCGTGCTGCAATTGCTGACGGGAGGTTACAGGACGGTGGTCGTTGATAATCTGGAAAATTCTTCGGCTGTCGCCCTCCAAAGAGTAAAAGAACTCGCCGGCCAATTTGGAAACAACCTTTCCTTTCACCAGGTTTGCTGAATCTGTCACCTCATTTCCGTTCACACTTTTCTTTATTAAACAGGATTTTGGGTTTAGGTGACTCGCGAATCGGATTTTTTTTTATTTGATTTGGAACTTAATTTGTTTGACATTCTCAAAATTGAAAAGCCTGATTGCTTTGGCTAAATCTCTGCTTGGTGCGGTTCTGAAATGGAGGTCTTTGGTTTTTCTTTTTCAAATGAAATGGTAGGGGACGGAATGAATGGAGGTTTAATTTAGAATTTTTTAAGTTTTTTTCTGGGGTAAGGGTAAATTTGGTAATTGGTTGGTAGAATTGACCCTTTTTCATTTTTCATTTTTTTTAAATAAAAAAGAAAATGAGGATTGGATTGATTCACCCAAAAAGAAACAATTTTTAATCTTGATTTATGAGCAAACTGCTCAAGCTCTCTCTGTTTAGTTCTCATATACTGTAGTCTTCAAAGTTTAGAGATTTAATTCTGAAGTTTTTTGTGTTTTTCTTTTCTTTTTATTTAAGAATGGATTAATTTGGTAATTAACTGATTAACTCTTTGAATTGGTTGTTTGTTTTTTAAAAAATAAGCAAATTTTTTAGTCCAACTTTGAGGATCAGGAGTTGGTGAGTTGATTCGTGAATGTGTAAAAGATAGGGCTTTTTTGCAGCTTGTGTAGGATGGTAATCTATAAATGCTGGCTTTTTTTTTTTTTTTTTTTTTTTAAAGTTGGAAGCTTTAATCCTGGGTGCTTTAGATGCACATGAAAGTTCATGCTTTTTGGATCAACTTCACCGATTGAGTGAATTTATGTTTCCATGTGATTGAACATGAGTCGGTTATTTTATGCAATAAAATAATTCAACTGTTTTTATTTGATTTTATTTTATGTTTGGAATTTTTTTCTGTTTATCATTTGATGTATATCCTTTATCTGAATTTTTACCTTCTAATTATCTGGAAGGTTCTCTAGATTCTGTTGGACTTTGTCATATTTCAGTTTTAATGATCAATATCCCACATGTCAGTTTCTAGAAAATATTACATCATAAACGTATTAATGATTCTGTAATAATCCTGATCTTTGAATTTCTACCTTCCTTACAGGTGGATCTTCGTGACAAAGCAGCTCTTAAAACAATTTTTACTGAAACAAAGTAATCTCTCAACTTAATCATAAACTTGTATTACATAATCCATATACCATAAGTATACAAGCTTTATAGATCAACATTCAGTTTATCTTTTCTCTTGCCTAACTTCTATTGTCATTTCTTCCTTGTGCTCCAGGTTTGATGCTGTAATACACTTTGCTGGACTGAAAGCAGTTGGTGAAAGTGTACAGAAACCTTTGTTGTATTTTAACAACAATTTGATTGGAACAATCACCCTCTTGGAAGTTATGGCTGATCATGGATGCAAAAATGTACATCCCTTTCTTGCTCTCTATATATATGATAATTACTAAAGTCATGCAGCTTTTGGAATAATGGTTACAACAAGATATTAAATCTTAATTCTGCTCATACAGCATTTTTTTTATTTCAGATGATTTTACTTAATATTATCAGTAATTTGACCAATTGTCTAATTGGTTACATTTCAGCTGGTTTTTTCATCATCTGCTACTGTCTATGGTTGGCCAAAGGAGGTCCCTTGTACAGAAGAGTTCCCCCTCTCTGCAGCAAATCCATATGGACGAACCAAGGTATGTGGTTAATACATATTTAGATTAGTTATTTACCCCCACAAAATAGTAGTGATGTAGGAAAAACATTTGTTATTTATTCTACATATTCCACTTCTGTTTTGGAACTCTATCATTTAACGTTGGCATTAATTGACTTCTAATGTTGCATTTGCTTTGTAATCATCCACCAATTTTATATGACAATGTGGTATTTCAGCTGTTTATTGAAGAGATATGCCGCGATATCCACTGTTCAGACTCTGAATGGAAGATTATACTTCTAAGATACTTTAATCCTGTTGGGGCACATCCTAGTGGCCAGATTGGTGAGGATCCCCGTGGAATTCCAAACAATTTGATGCCTTTTGTACAGCAAGTGGCTGTTGGCAGGCGGCCAGCCTTGACTGTATTTGGAAATGATTATTCAACAAAAGATGGTACTGGGGTAAGTTTATTATTGTCCAACAACGTGTTTGAATTTTAAAATCTACAGCAGCCTCTAGACCTCCTAACTATTATTGAAAAGAAAAAAAAAAGATCTTAAAGGTTTTGATTTGTCCATTTCCTCATTTTTCTAGTCTCCATACATGGCAGTTGTGAGTTTTTGACAAAGAATCAATTGCTTCTTCATTTCAGGTACGTGATTACATCCATGTTGTTGACTTGGCAGATGGGCACATAGCTGCACTGTGCAAATTGTCTGATTCAAAAATAGGTATACTAATGTTCTTTCCTATTACTCTTTTAAGATTTAATCTAGCGTTCCTCAGTTTTCTATTTCATATTATAATGGAAATGGTCAATTAAACTTAAGTAGGTGAACTTGGCTAGCAAACCAATGTGCAAATAGAGCCCACATATAGTTACAAGAAACATTTGTGCTTATTTTCAAGTCCAAAGGATATCTTGGGAAAGTGTCTGTTCATGACTTCAAACCATTTTGATTACTATGATTTATTTTTTTGATTTGTTGATTCTGCTTCCTGTGGGATTTGCTTGTAAGCATTGATCCTTGCAATTTACAATGTTTGTGCTTCTGCTGCAGGTTGCGAGGTTTACAACTTAGGAACAGGAAAAGGTACATCAGTTTTGGAAATGGTTGCAGCATTTGAAGAGGCTTCTGGCAAGGTATATATTCCACGGTGAATTGAGTAACTGGAGTGTATTATGTCTGTCTTTAGTTAGACAGTTACAGTTAATGCATGGTCATGTTTAGTTCTTGGTTCTTTAATTAACGTGAAGTGTGTATTACATGATCAGAAAATCCCCCTTGTAATGGCTGGACGAAGACCTGGAGATGCTGAAATTGTCTATGCTTCAACAGAGAAAGCTGAGCATGAATTGAAGTGGAAGTAAGTGCAAACATACATGCAAATCTGCATTCTAAATGAAAATTTTGCAGTGTCAGTGACCTTTTAACTGTTAGTCTGTTAACGTTGCCTTGCTTTGTATTGATGTAATATGGTTATGAACTTAGAGAAGTAAATCAAAAGTATTTGATTTGATTTGATGTCCTATTTTCCATGTTTGCAGGGCAAAATATGGCATTGAGGAAATGTGCAGGGATCAATGGAACTGGGCCAGCAAGAACCCTTATGGATATGGATCTCCTGAGACGACAAAATGAGAGATGATGATTTTCTTTTCATTCTTTTTCCCTCCCCTGATAACTTGTCTAGCATACCCCAGTTAGGTTTCTTCACTTCACTTAATATTTTCACTTTTAAAGCCAGATAATCATTGAGGTTTCACCATTATAGGAATAATCGACCATTTAACATTAGCCTGCTCTAAACTATACCTTATTTAGGAGCTCCTTCTATGGAACACCATTACTTGTATATGGCAGTTAATAAGAGGGGCTAAACCTTGATCTTAATATATATACATTTAGCTGTACTTTTTCAGCTATTTTGATGCCATTTTATCAATGTATCTATCTAGAAATTTTGTTTTTTTTTTTTTTATCAGCAACCATGTATCTAATGGGGAATAATTCATTATTGTAATGTTATGGCTTTTTTCTCTCTTTTGGTTTGCCCTAATGTTGTGGCTGTTGATTTTTTTCAATATGTAGTAATTAAGGGTTAAATTTTAAAATTATAATTTAAAATACAAATAACTCTATAATTAGATTACATGATCAGTGATACGTATGTCAATCGATGATTTTTCTTTGGTAATATTTTGCCAAGATTATGGCAATGATACAGATTACCACTCACCAACCTTTATCAATTATTATGTGCCGTTAGAATTATATACTGATGATGGAGAAGGACGAAGTTCAAATTCATCACTA